ATTACCTTGTCACTTTGCAAGTTTCCCTCTCTGTGTTTTGTACCCAGATATTTATAGCTTTTGGCAGTAGAAGGTTAATTGAACTATAATGGGTTCATAAATGAAATTGAGGAGCAGAGGCATAAAGCTGAGAAGTGTGGAGGGAAAACAATACCCATACAAACACCTTCAACAGCTGTTAGTGACTGACTTCTTAGTGAATATCTAAAATTCCGGCTGACATTCCCATTTGAATATTGTTGTCATCACACTGTTGTAGAATGCCTTTTATTTTCATTGAGAGCTCCAGGAGAGCTTGTGAGAGCAGGAGAGCATAGTCAATTCTGCCATTCAGTTTCTAGAGAAATCTGGATAATGTGACACTTTTTAGACAAAGATTCTTAGTGTAGCGGTACGGAGTTGTATGAAATCAAATCAAATGTGAGAAACATTCAGGCACCCTTTCAATTGTGTCGATTTGAACATGTAGTTCACTTAATCCTAATTGATAGCAACACAAAATTGATTTGATTGGCTCAATGAATCTTAGACTGCAAACACAGGTGCATCATGAAAATGGATATTTAAGGTTGTGATTTGCTAGTTGATTCTCGGAAAGTAGCAACATGGGAACCTCAAACGAACTCCTTAATGACCCAAAAACTAGGATAATTTGTCAATATGAATTAGGATACAAAAAGTTATCACAGACGTTTAAGGACTCTGTCTCCACAGTTAGAAATATAGTTAGAAAATGGAAGGCCATGGAATAGTCCTTGTGAAGAAAAGATGTGGTAGGCCAAAAAAAAGAGAAAAAAGTCTCAAAGGCAATGTTCCTAATGATCATTGACAAACCACAGATCACGTCCAAAGAGCTTCAAGAACATCTTGCTGCTGATAGTGTCATTGTACATCGTTCCACACCAGCGCACTTTGCACAAGGAGCAGCTCAATGTAAAAGGGTGATGCGGTAAAAGTTGTTTCTGTAGTTTGAGGTTTGCAAAGGCTCATCTGACAGGCCAGCATTATTTTGGAATAATGTGCTGGATGTGGACAAATAAAATTCACTTTTAAAACGAGTTATTTGGTCACAAGGGGTGTATTTCAGAAGGCAGGTTATGTGACATACCGGTTATGTATAAGGTTAAGTAAGCGGATAACCTCCACTTTCGGTTCCAAAACCGGGATTAGTTTACTTCAAAGGTGTTCGGCAAATGCGTGCCCTGTTGATGAGGCTCCAGTGGGCATGACATATTGCTCACAATATTTTATATACTATATAAAGTTATATCGATATATAAAGCGCTATTAAGATAATACGAATTTTATTATAATATATATAATTCTCATCTCACACATCACTGATCTATTCTACAGTGAGACGTTTTTTCTTTTTTTTTTGCAACAGGACGTTTTCTATGCTATAATCTATAATAAAATACATATGATATATCTTACCTTTCAAATGTGGAAGCAAAATGACTAAAAATAAACTTATACAGCCATGCTATCTTTGCAAGCACAGACTGTAGTTTAATCAATCTTTTTATTAATTAGCATCAAACAAACAATATTGTTCTTATTCAGTGATTTAAGATTATTAAACGAAAAGATTGCACTACCGCCAAATAGGTGGCGATATGCACTATGTAAATCAGCATTTAACAAAAGAAGAAAGTATAGCGCGCTTTTTCTTAGCGTCAGTTTCCATGGTGACTCATTGAATGATTTGGCGCTCTGTTGAGAATGTTCGGTGTGTTAACCATGAACATACTCCGAGTTAGAAGAACTTACTCACAGATGCGTTTTTGGTACCAGCATGCCTTGAGTAAGCAAGGTTTGGTTTAATCAACCGAGAGTTCAGGGTATGTTTGACAGTAAGAACCTTTTTTTATAGAATACACCCCTGAAGCACTTTGTATGGTGGAAAAAAGAACACAGCATTCCAGGAGAAGAACCTGCTCCCTACAGTAAAATTTGGTGGACGGTCCATCATGCTATGGGGCTGTGTGGCAAGCACAGCTACTGGAAACCTTCTCAAAGTTGAGGGTTGCATGGATTCCACCCAGTACCAGCAGATTCTTAAGAACAATGTTCAAGAATCAGTCAAAAGGCTGAAGTTAAGACGTATGTGGTTATTTCAGAAGGACAATGATCCAAAGCATTGTTCCAAATCTACCAAGGAATTCATGCACAGACACAATGTTCTAGAATAGCCATCCCAGTCCTCAGACTTGAACAATAGCGAAAACCTATGGAATGCTTTGAAGTGGGCTGTAAACGCTCTGCAGCCAACAAACCTGACTGAACTAGAGACATTCTGCAAGGAAGAATTGGCCAAAATACCTGCAGCCAGAATTCAGGGTCTTAGCAGTGGCTATATGAAGCGCCTACAGGCTGCTATTTCAGCAAAATGAGGCTCTACTTAAAGGTACAATATGTAGGATTTTTGCAGTAAAATAGCCAAAAACCACTAGGTCAATGTTATACATTTTGCTTAGTTGATTACTTACAATATCCCCAATGTTTCCAACTATTTGTAAATTGTGAGAAAATTGCGATTTTAACCAAGGAAACGGGACGTGTCAGCAGGGGTGAGTCGCCGCCAGTCAATGGCGTCATATCCGCGTAACCCTCGGTTTCCACTCGTACTGCCGTAGTAACCATGGCGACAGACGTGGACAACTGGGTTATGCTTAGCAGGACGCTCACGCTGTTATGTTCAAACATTATGGACCATGTCAAGCAGACTTTGAGACAAAAAGAGGACTAGAACGAAGATCAAAATCTTTCGAGATGCCGAGAGCTCCACGTCCGTGACTAACTTCGACTTGACAGAGACGCGAGTGTTCCATGTACTTTATTAGACAGGTGAGCAAATGTACATAAAACTAGTCAATGTTATTTAGTTCAACATGATGAAATGTTAGAATATGATCTGTATGTTATTCTAATGTTGATCTAGCTTAGGCTACTGCTAGTCTCATACAGCCAACAAACAACCTAACTAACAACATTCAACACACTCAAATGCCGTTTTAGTGTGATAGTGTAACTGTTAGAGCAAGTGAAACAGCGCTGCGTTACCTCAAGTTTCATTCGTCTAATAAACTGACCTGTAAGTAACTTATTAATTCAGCACTTGCGTGTAGTTCTGTAGAATGAAATGTCCTTATTCCTTTATATCCGCGGGACTCGCGTTGCGTGTGGCGCTGGTAACTTATAACGTTACGTCTCTCGTTAGCAATCGCGACCTGCTTCATACCACAGTCATGTTCAAAACATCACTGTATTCACTCATCCATAAAAGATCCATCAGCTTGACGACAAGATCCATAATTCCGCTTGATGCTTTGCGTCATCGATATACGCCTTTGTTATTGTAAGAGATTAGCGACCCCTGGTGGCCAAAAATGACATACTGTATGTTGAATATTGATGTAATTGACCGTTCGCAGGCCCCTCCCCCCAAACGGCCATTGTCCAATCACACATCATAGCAACCGTTACTATATGAGCAGGTCCGTCAAACATTGACTCCAAGCAAGATGGTGAAGCGGTGCGCCCACGGCGTTTGTAAATCGGACACTAGATACCCCGAGAGATTGTCTGGAGGAGTTGTGTTCTTTCCGTTTCAAAAGCCGAAAACACAACGTGCGCAAATCCTACAATGGATAAAAACGGTGTGGACGGCCCCACTCCCAGTTAAATGTGTCGAACATGGCGTGCAGCGTGCGTGAGACTGAGACAATGAGATTAACGTTAGTCAAAGACACATGGAGAAAGCAGATCAAGAGGATCCACAAAGGAAGTACGTTTTCTAAAGTGTTGTTGTTAACATGATATTTTCGGGGGGAAATGAGCAGCAGTCACTAGCAGTGCAGGCAGCACCTGTAGACTACAGTTTAGACTAACGTAAGAGGAGTGCACGTTCGCAACGGGGAATGCATGAAGCTTACTTGACAACATCAGTTCATATCAAAATCGTAACGAATATAAATAATGTATGATTATCTGCATCTTTCCGTCTATTATGTATAGTTACTTTTTAAACACGAAAATCGCATTCAGCATGACACGCAAGCGGTTGCCGTGGTAATGAACAACCTGCTTGTTAAAGCGAATGAATAATCCTGTATCTGAGGCAAAATTACTAAATATGCAGCGCGAGTTATATATTTCTAACTCCAAACAATTAGCCACTGAACCAGTTTATAAAATCTTCTTCAAGGCTGTGCTGGTTGCATTTGAGGTAACGTTACAGGTCATGGGGTTTCTCAGATTTTGCTTGAGACCGGTTTGAGAGCTTGATTAGGCTCGATAGTAGTCGTGTCTCCTTCATTGCGTATTTTTATATTTTGAATATATCCCTCCACTGCATACTGTAACCCCTTTTGCCTCGATCTGGAGGATATCGCGGAGGTATTACTCCAAAAAAGGTCACTGACGCACCTCTTCCCGTCATGGCAATCTGTGGCGCTGGTCGTGTTTGACCATTTGTTTGACGGGCGTAGCAACAATAACTAGGGGGCGTGGCTTTTGCAAACGGTCAATTGTTCCATTGGGGTGCCCAAATTTTTGCACCTGTCTGTTTTTGTTATGATTCACATTGCATTGTTTCTATTGATTCAATAAATGTTTCCATAAGGTATAAATTATATCCAAATGAAGTTGCTGCTTCAAAAAAGCCCAGCAGATTATGAATTGAAATGATAATTATCAGGGGTGCCCAAACTTTTGCATAAAACTATGTTACTCAGTCAGTATTGATGAATTTTTGTTTTAAGTAAACAAAGACTTTAAGTTTTAAGACTAAATTTAACTACATTTTACTGAAACTAAATTTAATGAAACTAGCATGAATAGTGAGTTTTGTTCAAATTATATTGAAATTACAAAATACTGGATGGATTCAATCCCTTTAAATATCTAAAAGGAGAAAAGTTTCACATGTGTAATTTCAACCTATGCTTTTAAGTTTCAGGAAAGCGTGGTATAAAAAAAAAGGAGAAAAAACATAGTAAATGTAATTGGTCATTTTATTTACAATAACATTACAGGATCCACACCAGAAGAAACTGAGAGCTGTGTTGCAAAAGAATCACACTGACCTAAAAAACAAAGCACAAAGGAGCAGTGTAAGATGAGAATAAACAATGGTATCCTAAATGATTGAATATTGTTTGAAATGGTTCACAATGTGACCATGTTTAAATTTTAATAGAGATAAAAAATATTAAAGGTAATTTAGAGTCATTTGCTCAAAACGTGTCTGATGCAAAGTTACTTACAATGTGTGACTGATAGGAGCTTCATTTCTTCAGGATCTGATGCCTGACAACGATGAAGGGGAAGGCAAATCCACTGCCAAAGAACAGCACCATCATGCCAAGGAGCCTCCACTTGTTTTCTACTGAGAACGGCAGGTTCTGCAAAAATAATTTATTTAGAAAATTATTGAAACCACATTAGGGAAAATTAATGTAGAGCACCATAAACATGTCCTATTGGTTCAAGACTGATTTTATAATTGAAGACATGCTTCCTAAATTCAATTAAACTGAATACGGTCTTTGACTATGTTCACACTATCAGTCCAAATTCGATTTGTGCATCTGATCTAAATGATTTACTTTGTCGTTCACACTTGGTAAAAATGACTGGATTCCAATCAGATATGCACAAAATTTGGATTTGGACTGACCGTCTGAATATGGCTTTTGTGAACTAGCCAGAATTCTTGACTGAGCTTCTGACCAATCATTGGTCTTGACTTTTCCAATCATTGGTCCTGACTTTTCCAATCATTTGTGATTACTGAATATAATTGTAAACAGATTACATACAATACAAAAAAAAGAGAACAATTTATAGACAATAAAATATTTTAGAGTTCACTATAAAAAGTCACTATATAAATTACAACATGTTTTCAAGACCTTATGAATTTCACCATGTAGGTGCATTTGTGGTTATGTGGATTGGCTGAAGAGAGTTCCCACACCTTTAGATCAATACATTTTCATAAAACTTCAAGGACTTCTGCAGTTGTTTGGTCACTAGTTTATGGTAATAAAAAAATAAAAATAAATATATATATATATATATATATATATATATATATATATATATATATATATATATATATATATATATAGGGAAAATAACATTACATAGCCAATTGACATATTTAAGAGTTAAACATAACTTTAGAAATATGTATATTGACAATATAAATTACCATGAATTTTAAGACTATTAATTTCCATGACTAAGTTAACGTTACTGATATTTCCAGCTTTTCCATGGCCGTGGGATAAAGACATCAAGCAGCAGGCGCACTAATGCCAATTCAAGGTCATAAAACACTATTGTAACAGAAGTCAACCTCATTGAATCATAAATAAAAGTACATGAATGCATTCACACTTAAAATCATTGAGGGTCTTCCTTAATGTAAAACTACGTTAGCGGTTAACGTACACAGCCGCGGTGGCCTGATCAAATGCTAAGCTAAGCTAATCTAAGGAAACTCCTGCACTCCGCCCTAACAGATCCATTACAATAACTGTTTAACACTTAATACAAATATTTATATAAGCTTAACCGCCTCTATGTACAAACCAATGTGATCACTTTTAACTAAACACTTAAAACGGGCTCCGCTCGGGCTTCAGATGAACCCAGGCCTGTGCCGATCAGGCATACAGGCGTTGAAGCTTTAAACAACAACCGACTAATTTTGGTCATATCCTAAAATCTCCTCACCTTTCCAGGTCCCTCCGCATAGTGACTGGAGCGCACCGCAGAGGTGGCGAATCGTCGCACGGCTTGTCCGAGCATCGTTTAACGTTACTGCTGAAGTGTGTGAGATCTGCTCGACCTGAGTGAGTCTGACTCTCAACGACCTTCCTGTCTGTGTGCCTGGAGATAGAGGGCGAACAGGCTTATGGGTAACGTGACAGTCACACCGCGGCGCGAGGTATTATGGGAAATGAAGTTGTAATTTTTTGAAGCAGGCGTTTCAAAAGTCACATACATAAGAGAAAATATCATAATTGAATTAATATTTCATAATATCCAAATTGGTCACTAATATTAATGATGATAATAATAATAAGTGATTAGCCTATTCCAGGGGATTTAAACTTTTATAGAGGGACCACCATCCATAAGGGACCATCAGTCAATCCAGGGAAATATTCAACTTATTTTTCACTGCATAAGCTATTTCTTGTGAATATGCGAGATTAACAAAGTTATTCAGACAAAGTTAGTACAACTGTTTGTGCTAAACTGTGTTTATGATTAGGCTATGTTCAAATAAAATGACATCAAATACGCTGTCACTTCAAGCAGTAGCTTTAACAGACTGTTTTGTACCACTAAAATAAATCAAGAGAGTCAAACAACTGACACTTTAGGGTGAAAATGCTACTTGCTCTTATGTTAAAAAAATATTTTGTAGCATTTTATAATAACTTTAATAAAAAACATTAAATTATATTATTACATCATCTCATGCTGCCAGGTTTATAGTTCGTTTAGTTCTCTTACGAGAGGTTCTCTTGTACTGCGTAATATCTTACGCTAGGGGAAAACCTCTTTTCCATGAGATATTGAAGCCAAAAATTATCCTCAATTTTGAATTAATGTAAAACACTTTGCGGCAGCATGCAGACATAGGCAAGGCGGCTCACATGCCTATTGGCTGTCCTGCGGCAACTGCAGCAGCCTATCGAGAGAGGCCCTTGGTGACGTCAGATCCAATGGGGGCGCTTCGCGCCCACTGCGTCACCTCCCGCCAAAGCGTCCGTGGCCTGGGCCTATAAATATAGCTCGATGGGCTGATATAATCTGATTTTTCATCTCTTTAGTGAAGCTCACGCATCGCTGGATCCGGAGTGAAGAAGCCGCGCCGTCTGAGAAAAGCTTTCATCCGTCAAAGATTTTGCTGATATATTCGCTGAGGTTCAGAAGACGTCACAGGCTATGAAGCACTTCTTACCAAAGTGCTCTAGCTTCACAGCAGATCGCCCAAAATAGCCGTCTGCTCGAAGCTCCCAGCCACAGCCTCCGCCCGCCGCCGCTTCACAGCGCCGTCAAGCCCGGGACCAGAGACCACGCTCTCGCTCTGCCGGCAGCCGGCCCCCTCCGCGTGGGCCCCGGCAAAAGATTGAGATAAAGCCAGAGGCCTCAAAGTCTTCCTAGCCCTCCTAGGAAAACAATGGTGTTTAAGTCTCGCCGCGACCAGACTTCCACCGAAACTGTTCCAGTGTATTTTGCAGTAAACAAGCCGGTATCACGGCCCGCTTGCCTGCACACAAATGCCTTTTCCACGGCGACCCAGATAAATCACATAAACAGTGTAATTTCTGGTATTCCGGCCACAGCCGATGGTGTTATGAGTGTAATAAAAATGCCCACAGCCCAGTGTTCATTTCTACACACAAACACAGCCCGCCACAGTACACGGCTCGCACAAATAAAATCGACTCATGTCAATTGTGCATTAAATGTAGTGAATGTGCCCACAACCCAGTGCCCAACACTACACACTGCATGTCCCACGGTTTCTGTAAAAACGAAACCAACACACATACAGTCAGCTCAGGCCGTCTGTGTTTTCAGTGCAGTAAATGTGCCCGCTGTCCTGCGCCAACATTCACACACAGACATGTTAAGCCCCACTCGCTCTCTCCAGGGCTGCCAACTTTTGAGTTCAGCTTAGAGTGAGATTGTGGGGGGCGGGGCTTGGGTTATGGGGGAGGGGCTTATTGAGGGGCGTGGCTTGGTGTGGGGAAAAATACAAAAACAAAATCCTTGCATTAGCAGAAGTGTAATAAGTATATATTGATTGTCAAAGTATTTGGTATCTGTACAGAATTTCTTGGGAGATTTACATTACATTTAATTTTACATTTAACATTTTAATTGACATTCTGTTCTTAGAAAACAATAATTAACATAAGGCATGTCCAGATATTTGTCATCTGGAAATGCTTTTGTACTGTTTTTATGATAAAGTTATGTAAAATAACTGCTCAGTGCTGCAAAACAAACAACTCTGCTATTGCTAACTTAATATATAAACTATATAACAGGCCTATTAGTTACCAGCCTAAACTGGATGGAGACAAGGAGCGCCCTGTAACTCACTGACCTGCCTGCGTTCACAATTCACACAGTGCAGATGGGAGGGAGAACGGCTGACTACACAGTTTATGGGAATAAATTGTGTATTTCCCTCACAATTGTCACAAAAAACTCACACTGTCTGTCTGGTCTCCAGAGCCGGTCCGAGCCTTTTGGGGGCCCTAAGCAGAATTTGATTTGGGGGGCCCCTCCCACTACGCGAAGTCCCCTGTGCTTGACGATTATTGACACAAATGTCACGCAATAATGATACATTATGAATGAATACAGTAAGGTTATGTATTAATACAAAATAAATAGGCCTACTTAATAAAAAATAGATGCCTACTTAAATAAAAAAGTTTTAACTTTTACTTTACTCTTTTACTAACTCTTTAAAACTTCTTCAAACAAACTGTCTCAAAACATATAAAATAAATTATTTGCTAAAATAATGACAAAACTGAGAAATCAGAAATATAATAAGACCAAGGGTTCAACAATGACAATTATTGTTGAAAACTGTAAAAATATTATTATTTCTCAACTGTCTCAATACAGTGTAACTGTCCACTGGGTTGTGTTGCGAAAGACACGCAAGCTCGTTTACCTCTCTGCCGTCGTGTGCGTGTGCGCGTGCGCGGTTAGGAGCGCGCCGTTAGGAGCTCAACACATCTGTCTCGCATGCACGTTCGCTCGCTATAGATAGATTACAGGATATTTTAACTAATTTGCGGTAAAACTAGTCGATCACGAATGGCTCAACTGGTAGATCTATAGATAAACTTATCTTTCAGGCATTTGACCGACTGGGTTGACACTTCAGCGTGAGAAATCGGGGGTGTGGCGTGAGAGCGTGAGAATTGGCTCAATTGCGTGAGTCTCATGGTGAATGCGTGAGAGTTGGCAGCCCTGTCTCTCTCAGCAAACTGCTATAAGGGAATCGAGCGCGGCCAGGCTGCCCGCCGCAATCGGCGCGCCCCCTGCCTCAAACGCTGCAAGCACAGTGTTTACGTTACAGCACACCAAAGCTCTCCTGTCGCCACCATGTTGCGGCCAGAGCCCAGATCTCATTCTACCCCTAGCTATTCATGCAAATGCATGGGCAAAGCTCCCCGGGGTATCAAAATGGGTGCTGAACATTATAAAAAGAGGCTATTCGCTGCAGTTCGCTCGACGTCTCCGCCGCTACACGGCGCGGGTCAAAACTACGGTAAAAACCGAACTAGCCCATCTACTTCGAGCCGAAATGACTATTGAGCAAAGGGGCAATAGAGCCTTTATCTCAAGCTCAGAGCGAAGGGGGCCTATACAGCAGATATTTTCTGGTACCAAAAAAAAGACGGGGGTCTCAGACCCATTCTAGATCTAAGCACAACGAAGTGCTTGTGAAACGCCAGTTCAGAATGCTCACAACCAGGAAAATTCTCGCGCAGATTTGCCAAGGGGACTGGTTTATGTCAATAGATCTGAAGGACGCGTATTTCCAAATACAAATAGCGACACAGGCGATTCTTGAGGTTCACCTTCGAGGGCCAGGCATATCAATACACAGTCCTACCGTTCGGCCTGTCCCTAGCACCCTGTACATTTACAATGTGCATGGACGTGGCTTTAGCACCCCTGAAACTTCGGGGCATGCGAGTTTTGAACTACTTGGATGATTGGCTGATTCTAGCTCGATCACACTCAGAGCTCATAGAACACAGGACCATATTACTCGAACATCTCGAGAATCTAGGTCTCAAAGTCAATTGGGCGAAAAATTCGCTGTCTCCCAGTCAGAAAATATCTTTTCTGGGCACAGAACTGAACTCGCTGTCTATGATAGCGCGACTGTCGCTAGAGCGCAGACTGAACATTCAGCGCATCACGAAATCCTTCTGCTGTGGCACTATAGTCCCGCTCAAAAGGTTTCAGAAAATGCTGGGTCTCATGGCCTCAGCATCATCAGTACTCCAGTTGGGTCTGCTTCGCATGCGCCCGCTGCAGTTATGGCTAAAGCGCGAGTACCACCTCGGGCATGGGCCTCTGGTCTGTTTCGCCTCAAGGTTGATCAGAAATGCGTCACAGCTCTGAAACCTTGGAGAGCAATTGGCTGGTACCAGTCAGGTGTAAGCCTGGGGACCTCCTCGAGTGTGAGCGTGGTGTCCACGGATGCCTCCACCTCGGGATGGGGAGTGCTGCTCGAGGGCAGACCGTTCTTTGGCCAGTGGTCAGAACGGGAGAAGCTCCTACACATAAACTGTCTAGAAATGATGGCAGTCGACAACGCGCTGAGGCGTTTTTGTCCCCGAATAAAAGGTCACCACATCTTGGTCCGCTCGGACAACATGTCAGTGGTGGCCTACATAAATCGCCAGGGTGGCGTCAGGTCCCGAAACCTTTACAGGCTGACGGAACGCCTCCTGGTCTGGGCTCAGCACAATCTGCGCTCATTGAGAGCAGCACATGTGCCTGGTCACCTGAATTTGGGACCAGACAGACTGTCCAGAAACAATGTTCCAGCAGGAGAATGGTCTCTGCACCCGCAGACGGTCCTACTGCTGTGGGAGACATTCGGCAGAGCGCAGGTAGACCTGTTTGCGTCCCAAGAAAACGCTCACTGTCCGAAGTTTTTCTCCAAGAGCAGGGATGCGCTGCCCATTTTTTCCCCCCGTTTCGCTTCTGCCTCAGGTATTGGAACGAATCAGGGAAAACGGATGCTCAGTGCTACTTGTGGCTCCGCTCTGGAAAAACCAGGCTTGGTTCCCAGTTCTGATGCAGCTGACAA